GGGTCTCGTTGGGAGGGTTCAAGAAACAGACCGCCGAGCCCACGCGAGCCTGGGGGAGGCAGGGCCCGGGGTAGCCGCCCCCGAATTCCCCCGCGCGAAAGGCGAGAGAGGAGAAGAAACAAACGCTGCGAACACAGAGTCGAGCTGAAACGTACCAAGAGCGGCCTGGAGAAACCGGCGCGCGTGTGAATCAGAGAACTCGCGGCCGCTTTCACTACCTCTTTTGTTAACCGAAAAGTCGATCCCTTTAATTAAAAATCGTTACGCAAATCTATTTTTTTTTACTAGCACAAATATACTTTTTACTCTGAATCTGCAGCCCAACTGTAGGGGCCGATTCCAGCGATCGGAAAAACGGAAACAAAAGATTTGGGTCAGTTGGTTTTTTTGTTTTTTTAGGGCGCCCAAGAAAGTACCATGCGGGGGATTCATCTTTGCCGTCTTCCCTTTGAGGCCAGTCGCAGCGGGTTATGCTTTTATGTTGTTTTAAAAGGGTGGGTCGTTTTATTTATTTGTAATCACGTTTTCCAGTCTGGGGCAGAAAGAAAGCTGGCATTTTTTTCCTTGGGTATAAAGCAGTTACTCGCCCAGCTAACGTTTGGAGCCGTGCAAACAAAGATCGCTACGTTTTTAGATTGTTTCTCAAACGGCAGGTTTTACAGAGCCGGTGTCAGATTTTGTTTGTTTGTATGAAGCCGGGTTTTTGGTGCCTGCTTTCAATTGTCCTTTAGGCTAGCCAACGCACGCCTTACATGCAAGCTTTCGCGCAAACCGGGCCTGACGCCTCGTGTTTTCCTGGTTCGCTGTAAATCCATTTGCAAAGGACACCTGGAGACAAGATACGTTTTTTTCTAGCGATTTGTTTTCGCGCAGTCTTGCTGTTGGGCTTGAAAAGTACAAGGAAGAAAATGATTTAAAAAAAAATCCGAGCCAGGAATTTGGTTTGGGGGGGGGAGGAATCTCCAGTCTCCCTACAACAAAGCGGGTTTTAACCCAGCCCGCACAGTGCGAAGCGAACCCAACTGCCGAGACAAAGGTGAGGCGGGGACCCGTCCGCTGCGGTTTCTTATGAAAGCAGAAGCGATTTATTTTTAAAAAGTTGGAAATGAGAATCACGTGTGGGAGGCCCGGCGTGTCCCGACGCTGTAATATATTATCCCCTGGCT